ATACTGCATTGTGTGCTCACCACCCAAAGTCTAGTCTCTTTCCATCACCATATATTAGACCTCCGCTACCCTCTTCATTCTTCTTGCAACCCTCTCCCTCTCTAGTAACTACCATATTGTGTTTATACAAGTTTTATAGAAGAAACTCACTGTAAATATAATATTATAGTTAGGTTGAAAGTCAAAAATGGAAAAATTTATATGATACAAACATTAGTCAAAACAAAACAACCGGCTATATTAACTTCAGAATATATATAGAGAAAATATATATGCTAATATAAATTAGCTATATATGTATATTATATATAATAGCTAATTTTATTATTTATATATTATATATTAAATTAAATATATGTTAATATAAATAATAATAATATAAATCTAGACAGAGTATAGTATAAAATATATTTCAGAGCCAAAAGATTGAACTGAGACAGATGACATTATATAATGATAAAAGGGCCAATCCACCAAGACATAGCAACCCTAAAAGTGTATGCACCAAACAACATAGCTACAAAATATTCATATAAAAAGCAAAAACTAAGCTAAAAGGACAAACAGACAAATCCACAATTATAGCTGGAGACTTCAACACACTTCTTACAATAATTGACAGAACTAGACAGAAAATCAGCAAGGATATGGAAGAACTCAACAACATCATCAACCAAAGGTAGCTAATTAACATTATAATACATTCCACGCAATAGTGAAATACACATTCTCTTCACATACAAATGGAAAACATATCAAGATAGGCCCTATCCCAAGCCATAAAACAAACCTTAATGAATATAAAAGGATTGAAATCATTCAGAGATGTCCTCTAACCACAGTGGAATCAAACTGGAAATCAATAACAGAAAGATAATAAGAAAATCTCCAAATACCTGGAAACTAAGCAATTCACTTCTAAACAATTCATGGATCAAAGCGGAAGTTTCAAGAGAAATTAAAAAAATATTGATGTTTAAATGAATAAAATGAAAACACAATATATCACACTGACTAGCATGGCTCAGCTGGTTCAGCATCATCCAGCAAAGCAAAAAGTCACTGGTTTGATTCCCAGTCAGGGCACATGCCTAGATTGTAGGGTGGTCCCTCGTTGAGGAGTGTGCAAAAGGCAGCCAATTAATGTTTCTCTCACACAGCAATGTTCCTCTGCCTCTCATTTTCCCTCCCTTCCCCTCTCTCTAAAAGTAAATAAATCAACTCTTTTTAAAAAAATTTTAAAAAGAGAACACAACATATCAACACCTGTGGGACAAAGCTAAAACAGTGCTAAACAGAAAATTTGTATCACTAATTGCATACAACAGAAAAAAGGAAAAGTCTGAAATCAATAATCTATATTCCCAGCTTAAGGGCCTAGCAAAAGGAGAACAAAATAAATCCAAAGCAAGTAGAAGGAAAGGCATAATAAAGATAAGAGCAGAAATCAATGAAATTGAAAACAGAAAAAAAATCAATGAAACAAAGCTGAGATTCTTTAGAAAGATCAAATAATTGACAAACCCTGGCTGGTGTAGCCCAGTGGACTGAGCACAGCCTGTGAACCAAAGCATTGTGGGTTCGATTCCTAATCAGGGCACGTGCCTGGGTTGCGGGCTAGGTTCCTAGTAAGGGGTGCACTAGAGGCAACTACACATTGATGTTTCATGCCCTCTCTTTCTCCCTCCCTTCCCCCCTCTCTAAAAATAAATAAAATCTTTAAAATTAAAAAATAAATAAAAAACACAAGTAATTGACAAACCTCCAGTAAAACTGATAAAGAAATAAGAGAGAAGACACACATTATATTACATATCCTTCAGACATCAAAAGAATAACAATGCTATGAACAACTGTACACATAAATCTGTCAATTTAGATTAACTGAACCAATTCTTGAAACAACACAAATTAGAGACTTCTGGTCAGGATGGCAGCATAGGTAAACATCTCATCTCATTGCACAACCACATCAAAATCACAAGCAAATGAACAAAATATAACCAGAAACATTGAAATAAAAAACAAACTGACAGTAACCAGAGGGGAGGTGGGAGGGGATAATGGCAGGGAAAGGGGAAAGGCTTGTCAAGGAAAATGTGTAAAGGACACATGGACAAAACCAAAGGGAGGTAGGATAGAGGGTGGGAGGTGGGGATGGCTGGGGTAGGGGGGAATGGTCGGGGGGAAATGGAGACAACTATACTTGAAAAACAATATAAATAAATAAATAGAAATTTTTAAAAAATTAAAACTAAAATACAGATCAACAATCATTTAGTACCATCAAAAATGGAGTTGAATGGAAGCCTGACAACTATGGAATTAAAGAAACCACATCCAACCAGACTGGTAGGAAGGACAGAGACATGGAATAGGCTGGTCCCACATCCAAGTGTGGTAGACAAAAATTCGGGAGGGATATCTCAGGAGTGAGGAGTCTCAACCCCAAACCAGGCCCCCCAGGCCAGGGTTCCAGTGCCAGGAAGATAAGCCTCCATAATTTCTAGCCACAAACCACTGGGGATTGAGTCAGTGGAAGAAACTTCTGGAGTCTCAAGCAGTTTCTCTTAATGAACCCAAACAAAGACTTCATCAGACTCACTCCCTCTGAGCTCCAAACCAGGGAAGCAACTTGAAAGATACCAGTGTCATAAAGGGAGAGAGTGAAGTGTCTGGCATCAAATAAAGAGCTTGGGGATAGCATTCTCTCAACAAAAAGACAGGCCATTGTCTAATTTCTGAACCCTCCCCAAACAATGCCACAGAGCCCACAGTCTGGTGCCATATATGAGACCCCATCAACCTAGGTAATGTAGTTTGCCCCACCCTAGAGATCCCAGAGACTCAGTCACGGCCAACTTATGGGCCCACACCAGTTGCTTTCCCATATGAATGGGTAGTCTTGACTCATGCTTCACAACTTCCCAAATCCTCTCAAATGAACAACAGCCAGCCTCAGTGAGCTCCCAGCCCTCATACCTCTTGCGAAAGGACCCCACACCCAGCACTAACAGCAACCAGCCTAGGTTCACAGCTTAACTTGGCTTGGCTTGGGAATCTCCAGGCCAAGCACAAGTAGCAGCCATCTCAGATTGTTTTATACCTCAGGCAGGGTGGCCCCAGGCAAAGCACAGGTGGGTGCTGATCTTGACCAGTACCATCCAGGAAACCCCAGATACTGCGCACCCAGTGGACAATTACAGACTATGTGAGACCACCACCATCCCACCCTTGCACAGCAGATCCTCCACAGAGGGTGAGTTGACTGGTCTGGGTGAATCCCTCCCATTGACCTGCCAATAGTAATCAAGGCTCAACTACAAGAGGAGAGTGTATTCAGTCCACATGAAGGGTGCACCTTGAGTACCAAGCTTGGGTGATAGGGGAGGACCTTACAAGATACCTATTATATTAGGCCATTCTACCAAGACAGGGTGTCATAGCAGTTCTGCCTAATACATAGAAATACAAAGAAACAAACACAGGGAGGTTGCCAAAATGACAACACAAAGAAACATGGCCCAAATGAAAGAACAGATCAAAACTCCAGAAAAAAGAGCTAAACAAAATGGAGATAAAAAAAATCTATCAGATGCAGAGTTCAAAACAATGGTTATAAGGATGTTCAAGGAAACTAGTGAGGACATCAACCATACAAAAAAAGATCCAGTCAGAAATGAAGGACACACTAATTAAAATAAAGAACAATTTCCAGGAAAACAACAATAGAATGGATGAAGCTGAGAATTAAATCAATGATCTGGAACATAAAGATGCAAAATCTACTAATCAGAACAACAAGAACAAAAAAGAAATGAGGATAGTATAAGCAGCCTCTGGGTCAACTTCAAGCAGTCCAACATTTGCATCATAGGGGTACCAGAAGAAGAAGAGAAAAAGCCAAAACTTGTAAATCTATTTGAAAAAATAAAGAAAGAAAAATTCCCTAATTTTGTAAATAGACATGCAAGTTCAGGAAGCACAGAGAGTCACAAATGAGATAGATGCAAAGAGCCCCAATCCAAGACACATCATAATTAAAATGCCAAAGGTTAAAAATAAAGAGAGAATCTTAAAAGCAGCAAGAGAAAAGAAGTTAGTTACCTACAGGGCATTTCCCATAAGACTGTCAGCTGATTTCTCAAAAGAAATTGTGCAGGCTAGAAGAGATTGGCAGGAAACATTCATAGTCAGGAAAAGCAGGGGCCTATAGCCAAGATTGCTCTACCCAGCAAAGCTAACATTTAGAATTGAAGGGCAGATAAATAGTTTCCCAGACAAGAAAAAGCTAAAGGAGTTCATCATCATCAAGCCACTATTACATGAAATGATAAAGGAACTTATTTAAGAAAAAAGATCAAAACTATTTACAATAAAATGGCAACAAATACTTATCTATCAACAATTGAATCTAAAAGACAAACTGAGCAAACAAGAACAGAGACAAAATTGTGGATACAAAAAGTGTCTTAATGGTTCCCAGATGGGAGGGCTTGTAGGGGAATGGGTGAAGAGGTCAGGGGATTATGTAGTACAAACAGGTATTTACAGAATAGCCTCATGATGTATACTACAATATAGGAAATGGAGTAGCCAAAGGACCTACACATGACCTATGGACATGAACAATGGTGGGGGGATTGCCTGAGGGAGTGGGGGTGCTATTTTGAGGGGGGCAAAGGGGGAAAAATTGGGACAACTGTAACACAATAATCAATAAAATATAATAAAAATAAAATAAACATAAAAAAACAAATTAACACTTCATCCAATATGAAATAGATTATTTGAATAGCATTAACTATAAGGAAATTTAATTAGCAATTTAGAAGACTTCAATTTTAAAAACAGAAATTTCCAATACTCGCCCATGTGGCTCAGTTAGTTGGAGTGTAGTTCTGTGCACCAAAGGGTTGTAGGTTCGATTCCCAATCAAGGCACGTATGTACATTGTGGGTTTGATCCTCGGCCCAGGCACATACAGGAGGCAGTCTATCAGTGTTTCTCTCTCACATCAATGTTTCTCTCTCTCCTTTTCTTTATCTCTAAAAATCAATGGACAGGAGAAAGGAGAACCCTTTAACACTGTTGGTAGGAATACAGACTGGTGCAGTCACTATGGAAAGCAGTATGGAGATACCCCCCAAAATTAAAAACAGATCTGCCTTTTGACCCAGTGATCCCACTCCTGGGGATATATTCAAAGGAACCCAAAACACTAACTCAAAAGATCATAAGCACCCCTATTCTCATTGCAGCATTATTTACAATCACTAAGATATGGAAGCAGCCCAAGGGTCCATCAGTAGATGAGTAAATAAACAACTATGAGACATTTACACAATGGAATACTATTCAACCATTAAAAAGAATAAATTTAGCCCTGGCTGGCGTAGCTCAGTGGATTGAGCGCGGGCTGGGAACCATAGTGTCCCAGGTTCGATTCCCAGCCAGGGTACATTCCTGGGTTGCAGGCCATAACCCCCAGCAACCGCACATTGATGTTTCTCTCTCTCTCTCTCTCTCTCTCTCTCTCTCTCCCCTCCCTAAAAATAAAATAAATAAATAAAATCTTAAAAAAAAAAAAAGAATAAATTTTACCCTTTGCAACAGTATGGATGGACCTGAAGAACATTATGCTAAGTGAAACAAGCCAGTCTGACAAAGAAAAATACCATATGACTTCACTCATATTTGTAATCTAATGAACTGAAATAACAAGCAAAATAGAGATAAACTCATAGATAGAGGGTAGGATGACATCTAAGAGAGGGGAATGTAGGGGCTGGAGGGATTGAGCAAAAAGGAAAGACTCATGGACGTGGATAACAGTGTGGTGATTGCAGAGGGAGGAGTATATTAAACAGCTAAATGATAATAGAAAAAAAATTTAATATTTAAAAATAAAAGGGTCTGGAAAAATAAAAATAAATGAATATACCCTCAGGTAAGCCTTAGAAAATAATAATAGTAAATAATAATAACAATAAACAAATATTTTAAAATATATGTTATTGATGATCCTATTACAATGGTCTCAATTTTCCTCCTTTGCCTCCCTCCATCCAGCACCTCCTACTCCCTCAGGCAATCCCCCCACCACTGTTCATGTCCATGGGTCATATGTATAAGTTCTTCAGCTACTGTATTTCCTATCCTGTACTTTACATCCCCATGGCTATTCTGTAACTACCTGTTTGTACTTCTTTTTTTTTAAGATTTTATTTATTTATTTAGAGAGGGAAGGGAGGGGGAGAGAGGGAGAGGGAGGGGGGGGAGAGAGAGAGAGAGAGAGAGAGAGAGAGAGAGAGAGAGAGAGAGAGAGAGAGAGAGAGAGAGAAACATCAATGTGCAGTTGCTGGGGGTCATGGCCTGCAACCCAGGCATGTACTCTGACTGGGAATCGAACCTGTGACACTTTGGTTCACAGCCTGCGCTCAATCCACTGAGCTACGCCAGCCAGTGCTACCTGTTTGTACTTCTTAATCCCCTCACCTCTTCACCCATTCCCCTACACCCTACTTCCATCTGGCAACCATCAAAACACTCCCCATATCCACATATCCTCAGATGAGTATTAAAAATAATAATAATAAAAAATAAACAAAGATTATTTTTAAATAAATAAATAAAAGATGGTTTCGCTGAACTATTCTACCAAACATTTAAAGAAGAATTAATACCAATTCTACAAAATCTCTTCCAGAAAAAAAGAGGACGGGACATTCTCAAATCATTGTATTACCAAAATATAAAAACTATAATACAAAAATATAAAACATTAGGCATGTCTCTCAAAATTACTCTGCAGCTGGTAGGAAGACACAAACACTGCCAGTGATTTCAAGAACGTCTCTGACAATAGTATCCAGCACCACGCTTCCTCTCTCTTTGTGATCAGAAAGCCAGCTTTAAAGAAGTGCAACCTGCACAGTCACACAGATCCCCCACGCAGAAGGGTCCCTGCTTGATTTACTGCTCTATTATTGCCATCTTGAAATTCTTAATAATTTTACCTTTGAATTTATGTTTTAGAAGTGAAGTTCAATGGGACAATGGACCAAGCCATGTGAGCAGAGAAGATATGTGATAGAAAATAAAAGCTTTAGCCCTGGCTGGTGTGGCTCAGTGAATTGAGTGTCAGCCTGTGAACCAAAGGGTCACTGGTTTGATTCCCAGTCAGGGCACATGCCTGGATTGCAGGCCAGGTCCCCAGTAGGGGGCTTGCAAGCAGCAACCACACATTGATGTTTCTCTCCCTCTCTTTGTCCCTCCCTCCCACTCTGTCTAAAAGTAAATAAATAAAATATTTTTAAAAAAGATAAGTAAAATGCAAAAAAAAATTTTAAAGCTTTACATTTTTTGTACTTTCAACAACAATTTTTTTCTTGGTTTTGAATAAACCATTTTCACTTTGCACTGGACCTGGACAATTAGACAGCCAGTCCCACATGACCACTGTTTTCCCTGAAAGACACATCAGCAACTGCCTCAAATCTGCCAACCAGATACTCTAGCTCCACTTCAAGAAACCTAGAACTTTATGCTTTTTGTGTTTTTCCCCTTAATTTCACAAATATATTTATTAAAGGGAAATTGAAAAATATGCTTAATCAAAAAGAAAAATGATATTAAAATCCTTGCTAACCCCAAGACACAGAGATAAGCACTTTCAATATTTTAGCACATTATCCTCTTTACATGCACATGTACTCATTTTTATAAAAACAAATGTTAAAGCACATTTTCATAATCTGCTCTTTTACTATATTAATACATTAAAAGCATTCTCATGTTACTAAATATATACATTATTTTTATTTTGAAAAGGAAATAAATTTGTTGAGTTTTCTCATTAGAAAATATTAACTCATTGAGGGAAAGCATTAGACAACAGAGAAACATATATAGTTCTTAAAGACTTTATTTATTTTTAGACAGAGGGGAAGGGAGGAAAAAAGAGAGGGAAACAGACATCAGTGTGTGGTTGCCTCTCTTACACCCCCCACTGGGGACCTGGCCTGCAACCCAGGTATTTGCCCTGATTGGGAATCAAACCAGCAACACTTTGGTTCACAGGCTGGCACTCTGTCCGCTGACCCACACCAGCCAGGGCTAGAGAAATATATTAACAAAAAAGTGAAAATTGTACTTCACTTTCCACCAATGGAAACTATCTGCCAATAATCACATCACTATTCACCAACAATCACATCTAAAAATATAATAATACAGATAATATGAGACTTTCATACACATACAGACACATATAGACACATATATATAAACTATATATTACATACACATATTTAAACAAAATGGATCGCTCTATGTACAGTCATATAATATTTTCTATTTTCCTACAGAATATGGATACACTTCCCTGTGAATATAAATCACTATAGATTTTTACATAAATAGGATTATCCTATACGTAATATTCATCCTAATTTTTCTCCTAACGTTATAACTTAGATGTCTTTCCCATTCTAATACAAAGAGATTTCTCTTATTCTTTGTAATGACTGAAGACTTATTTAACTAAGAGTTAGTAACACTCATACATATTTATTACAATGTAACTATTACTCAGATGATAAACATTCATGCAACTTCTAGTTTTTCAAATTTTATTTTTTTTATTTTACTTATTTATTTTTAGAGAGGGAAGGGAGGGAGATAGAGAGAGAGAAAGAGAGAGAGAGAAACATCAATGTGCAGTTGCTGGGGGTTATGGCCTGCAACCCAGGCATGTAACCTGGCTGGGAATCGAACCTGGGACACTTTGGTTCCCAGCCCGCGCTCAATCCACTGAGCTACACCAGCCAGGGCCCTAGTTTTTCATATTTTAAAACAATACTATGATGAACATTTGGTTTTATGTGTGTTTATGTTTATGTGAGAGTATATCTTTGGATTCTTGTCCAATTATTTCTTTACAATAAATTAATAGATGTCTAATAGCTAGACTAAAGGATATAAACAGGAAATTTATACTTTCAGCAAATAGGTGTAGCTACTTTATTTTTTTCTATCTAAAGTTTCTCAGAAGCCCTTATGCCTCTGAATGATACAGGAGGCATGCAGATGTAAACTTGTCAATTGAAGATATCTATCTTTCTTTCTTTTCAAGTACAATTACTTTCAATATTATTTTGTATTGGTTTCAAGTATGCAGCATAGTGATTAGACTTTTAAAAGTATTCCCCCTAATATTTCCAGTACTCACTGGCACTGTACATATTATTGACTATATTTCCCATGCTATACTTTACATCCCTGTGACTATTCTGTAATTCTCAATCTGTGCTTCTTGATTCCCTCATTTCTTTCACCCAGTTCAAACCCCCACCCCTCTGGCAACCACCAATCTGCTCTCTGTAAGATATGTTTAACTCTTTTTTAAAAAAGATTGTATTTATTAATTTTTAGAGAGAGGGGAAGAGAGGGGGAGAAACATCAGTGAGAGAGAGAGAAACATTGATCAGTTGCCTCTCACCCACCCATTGAGCTACACCACTCAGGGCAGATAACTTTAAATCTTGAAGTTTTTTTTAAAGATTTTATTTATTTATTTTAGAGAAAGGGGAAGGGAGGAGAAAGAGAGAAACATCTGTATACTAGAGAAACATCTATCAGTTGCCTCTCACACACACCCAACCAGGGACCTAGCCCACAACTCAGGGATGTGCCCTGATGGGGAATCAAACCAGCAATCTTTCAGTTTGCAGGCTGACACCCAAACTACTAAGCCACACCAGCCACAGCTAACTTGAACTTCAAAAAATATTTTCTATTTTAAATAATCTCCTTTGAATAAAGGTTGAGACTTTCAGGGTTTCTCTTACTCCTCTTCCCCAAGATGCCCTTATGGCAATTGAGGGCGGGACCCTAGCCATTGATTTTTCTTGGGGTCTCTGTTGGTCTTTCATTCCACATTGCATGTGGGTACCATATGAAGCTCATGGGGGTTGCTGCTGGTATCTTGACCTAGTCTGGTCTTTGAGACTAATAATGCCTACCTTCTTGGCTCTATTATGTGGCACCCCCACCATAGCTTATTGGAATGGGACATCCTACACAAGCATGACTACTGTCCTTATGATTCACCTCCAGGGATCTGTTACCCATAGCCTCTGCTTGGTGTCTTCTCATCCCAGTGTCATTTGGGGGGTAAGCTGGCCCATACCCCATTAACTCTCCAGAGCCTTCTCCAGGTCCTAGCTATGCCAATCTTAGTGCCATGATAAATTAGGGGATAATTTTTTCTTCTTCCAACTCATTATGCCATCATGCCATTTTTAACCTCTTATCTGGGTGACATCGTGTTGGACATGATCTTCTCTAGGGGAGCTGACTATTTTCCCAGTTTTCACTTGGGGATGCAAAGAACTGTCTCTATTGCTCTAAGAATCTCCCAAATTTACATTTACACAATGGAATACTACTCAACTGTGAAAAAGAAGGAAGTTTTACCCTTGGTGACAGTATGGATGGACCTGAAGGACATTATGCTAACTAAAATCAGCCAGTCAGAGAAGACAAATACAGTATGATTCCACACATATGTGGAATCTAATGAACAAACTGAACTAACAAGCAAAGTAGACACAGACTCATAGATGGAGAGCAGGATGACAGCTAAGGGGGGAGGGTAGGCTGTGGAGGGATTGAGCAAAAAAGAAAAAGGAGTTATGGACATGGACAATAGTATGGTGATTGTGGGGAAGGTAGAAGGGAACTAAATGGTAATGGAAAAAAATTAAAATAATAAAATAAAATAAAACAAAATAAAACAAAATAAATAAAATAAAATAAAATAAAATAAAAAGAATCTCCCAAACTTATCTGGGATGACTCCCTTCTTCTTCCCAGGCAGCCCTTCTAGAAATCAGAAATGGCTACATCTTATGCCTTCCTCCTATCTGGAAAAGACAAAATATCCCTTCTCAAGGTAGCATTCACTCTCTCCAGTCCCTCAGGACTTAATAAGGAAACACACTGCGAGGTGTTTAAAAAAATATATCTATATCGCATACATGTTAAGGTCTTAATACTTTTACTGAATTACCCTACAAAATATATGTGGTCTGTCCAGAAGCTATCCAGCCATGTACTATAAAAAATAGAGACATTTACTGAAGAAGATACAGGATACAAGAAACATTATACACAGGACTATAACACCTCAGTCCCCTTCAAAGTAGGCACCTTGGGATCTCACACAGTTCTCCCAATCACCATCAGCTGCCCCGTTGTATTTTCCTGAATCTCATCAATGGTCTGAGACTCTGCATGAGATGTGATGCATGAGTGGGTACATTGTCATGATGAAGCTGCCCATCACCAGTTGCCCATACCTGCAGCCTTCTGAATCATCTGAATAATTTCTGCAGAGGAGTGTTGAAGATTAATGCAAAATTTGATGCAGATTTGTTGCTCTACTCGCTCAGTCATTTTGAGTGTGAGGTCCCACAGTACACATGCTCACTCAATGGCATCCACAACCCCCACTAATTAGTAACATGAAGTCGTCATTGTTCACACATGTGCATTCCAGTCCACTCTCCTTGGCTGCCAGGTTACATCAATGTTACGCAAACCATTCTCATATTAACAATGGCTGTACTTTTCCAGACTGGCCTCATCATAAACAAGTATAGTACCAATTTATGCTCCCAGTAGCAGTTTATGAGATGTCCTTCCCCATAGTCCTTCCACCTCCATCATAGTAACCCTACTAGCTGAACTTGGGCAACTGGTTGCCCAAAATCATGTCATCTCAATCTTTTAATATGCATTTCTTTGAGGTTTAATGAAGTAGACAGTTTTTGATGTTTATTTGTTCTTTTGTGAATTTCCTGTCTATGATCTTTGTCCATTATTCTACTCATCTTTTTGTATTTTTCTTGATTTATGAGAGTTTGGTATACAATAAGAATATTTACCCAAGTTGCCATTGTATTTAATTTTATTTGTGGTATTTTTTGTAATTCTTATGAAATAAAATCTATCTCATTTCTTCCTTTTATGTTTCATTTTTGTCTTCATGATTACAAAGCCTCTCTACACACTGATTATATGAATTGGAATCTACAATTTATTCTGTACTTTATGTTTTAATGTTTTCATTTAAGTATGTAATATATTTGAAATTTATTTTGGTGCAAGATGCAAGGTAAGGCTCTCTATTTCCCAAATGATTAACAAGTTGTAATAATGTCCTGTTCCTCTCTGAAAAAAAAATATAATGGTCTTGATTTTCCAGAACATTATAGCTTCAATGCAGTAACTATTGAATGTAAGTGTCTACCATAAACTTCATTTTTTTACATTACACCAACTGTGAGGGACCTAGGTCTAACCAAAGTTCAATCTCCTACGTACAAAATCAACTGGACTTGGGTGAGTGGTAAACAGAAAGGCACCTTCGAAATGTATCTTAGAGAGGTAGAATGTCTGATAATGCCCTCTGCCCTGTGTCACACACCCTGACTGTTACCATAGGAAACTGGGCCAGAGCAGATCTGCCTCTGGCTGGCCAGTAGTGTATGGATTCTTTACTTAATGCAGGAAAGATTTCACAACATGAATACAGGTGATTTTAAGAGTGTATTTAGTAAAGCTGGGGACAGTGGGAGTTTAGGAGAAAGAAAATAAAAAGCTGACACCTGAGATAAGTCATGGGCGTGTTCTAGCCAGAACTGGGTCTTTTGTCTTGAGGTTTTTTATCTCTCTTTTGCAGATGGGAGTCTTATGGGAGTCTTATGGGAGGTCTCAGGGGAGGATTTCAGCAGAATATTCATTAGTTTTCTAGATGTGTTCCTTAATATGTTGATGTATGAAAATTAGTGCATGGAGGGACCAGGATCATTTTCTGGTCAGCTTTGCTGCTATCTTGAATTTGTTTGGTTTTAATTGGATTTTTTATGTATTCCCCTGACTTCAACTGTCCTTAAGTTTGTATCGCACTAATGGCAATAATTGGGTCTCTGTTATTTATCTCCCTGACCAGGGTGACTTAAGCTACTTACTTTCTGATTAGGGAGGAGAAGGGTAAACTATTTGTTCTCTATTGTCCTTGGTTAGGGAAGATAAGCTCTTGATATTTACTAGCTGGGTGTAAATTGCTTGCTTTGTTTGGCCCTATTTGTCTAACCATTTGCCTCAGTTTCCCTTTTCCCACTGGTCAAGAATTCTCCTAAAATCTAGTTATCCTGCCTCATGACCATTTTCCAAAGACCAATCACTGGGATTTCTCACACTTTCCTGGCCTGAGTTTCCCTAGTCTTGAAGAACTCCCTGCAACTCGGCTGTCAGTGTTATTCTTGAGCCAGTCCAGAGATGTTTATTTTGGAAAGCTTAGAAGCGCCAAGGACAGTTTCTTCAGCTGAGATATCTTTGGAATGCTAGATGAAGTATGAAGTATCTTGGAGTGAAAACCCCCCTGAACTATTAAGGACGTCAACCAGTTACTGGATTTCCCCCACTTTTCCACTTCTACACAACTAACCCTACTAACAGACCTTCTTAAGAAGAAGGAAGGCTTTTAACTTAGTCCCTGATGCAGCCACAACATGTCAGCAACTAAAACACCTGTTTACCTGTACCTTCCTCCTTGCTTACCCTAACACAACAAACTCCCAAGTTATTAAAATCAACCTCTAATTCTATAGAATTAGAGGGTCACTTTTTAACATAGTATGCAAGGCCATCCATTACCCAGCCTTTTCTTACTTCTCTATATTCTGACTTCCTCACCACTCTCCGTCTTGCACATCATGGTCAGGCAATTCAAACGGTTTATAGTTCTCCAACTGCACTAAGCTACTTCTCTCTCTGCCTTGCTGTCTGTTGCTCTTCCCTCTAAGAATGTCTCACCGCCACACCCCCCACCTTCATTTACCTAAATCCTACATAATTCTTTAACACTTACCTCAGGTATTATCACCTCCAGAAAAATTTTCCCTGGTACCATCTTCTTAAAGACTGGGTGTAGCACCTCTCAGACATCCTCCTATAATATAGAATGCAAAGTTCTATCAATTTTTAGCTCATTGTATTATAACTACATTTTGTGTGCTGATGAACTCACTTGATCATAGCTCCATCTTAAATGGAGAGACTATGTTATCTCACTGTATATCCTCAACATCTAACAATATGTGGTATACAATAGGCCCTCAATAAATGCTTGCTGATTAAATTAACAGACAAATGAACTGCATCCTATCATTTGATTGCTAAACCAATCCCCCTGCCCCAATCCAATAGTGAAGAAGTGCCATGGGGCACATGAAGAAAATAAATCTGCTACAATCCCAGTCAGAAACACATTTTAAGAAATTTCTCAAATTTAACTGAGACAGGTTAGCATTGTGCATATATAACTTCTATCCACAAACATTGGGCCAAAAGGTCATCATCACTGAACTGACTGTTCTAATAAAGAATAACTTATATTCTTAAATTTAACTAAGACTATTTAGCATTGGGCATATATAACTTATATACACAAATATTTGGCCAAAAGGACATCATCACTGAGCGAACAGACTGTTCTAATAAAGAATAATTTGTATTCTACATCATTTTTTTAAATTTTTATTTATTGATTTTAGAAAGAGGAAGGAAGGGAACCAGGAAAGGAGAGGGAAGAAGAGAGAGCAAGGGGTGGTGGGAAGAGAGAGAGATAAATCAATCTGCTCTGCTGTTCCACCCATCCATGCATTCATTGGTTGATTCTTGTATGTGCCCTGACCCGGGATCAAACCCACAACCTTGGCATATCGAGATGACACTCTACCAACTGAGCTACCCAGCCACAGCTCTACATAATTTCTTATTGTGATTTTGTTTATGTACCTGTGTCTTCCATAAGACTAAGAGTTTCTCAAAGCTCCACACCCAGTACAATGCTTGACACATAGTAAGCACTCAATAAATGCTTCTTAAATGAATATACAGGGTAGGGCAAAAGTAGGTTTACAGCTGTTCATATGAAAATAATACAATAATCAATAGATAATAATATAAGAGTAAACTCTATTTTGCATACTCACAACTGTAAGCCTATTTTTGCCATACCCTGAATAAGACATACACTCATGCTGTCTCCTCTACTAGAAATGCCTCTTCTCCCTCTCCTTTTCCCCCTAAAAAAAATTATACTTTTCCTTCAGAATTCAGTCAACTGTCAACCCTTTCTGACTCAGCATAAAGCAGAAATAGTCACTTCCTCCTCTGGGCTACAGTACTTCATTATATATATCATTCTTGCAGCATCTATTATTGTACAGTGACTGTAGTTAGTTAAATTTAAACCCCATCATTCACTACTTGTGAACTCCTCAAGAGCAGGAACTTTGTCTTATTTCTACTTATATCTTCATGTTTTGTACCTAAAAATTGCAGGCCCTAAATAATAGGTTATTAAGTTAGATTGAAGGAGGAGCACCAGTAAGAATAGAAAAGAGGAGATAGATATACAAGGTCCAGCAGAAGTAATGCCTGATTGAGTGTGGTTAGTAGGGTAATACATGGGTATAATAATTTATAGTTTTAATTTGAACATTTCACCTAAAATGGTATATGGTGTGCTTGAGTATGATATTGTTATGTTACAGGATTACATGCTTACGAGTTTGCAATAAAAAGGGGCATTATATGCACCAGACCCCTGTATGTTATGACAAGGGGTAGAGATCAAATCAAAACAAATTTCTAAATAAAAGTAGTAAGAGGGAGGAAAGAAGTAGAGAAAAAATCAAGAATGATTAAGGTTTTGAACCTGAATGACTAGAACAACTGGGTCATTTGATCTTAGCTAACAGAAGTAAAGAAATGAGTACCAGGCACAGGTTTGGGCAGCTGTGGGCAATTAGGACTTTATATTTGATTTTGAACATACTGAGTTTAAGGTTCCAGGAAACATCCAGCCAACATTTAAAACCCAAATCTAAATTTAAAATACGAGAAATGTAGGCTTAGCAGTCAGTCATTTATGGTTGGAGCTATCAGGAGATATGAATGACTAGGAAAAAATATCTACTTTCACCATACTGGTCTTAGTAAAAAAATAAAATAAGAAGTCAGTGCTAAATATTGGGAAGGAAGAGACAACTTATTTGCTGATGATATAATGATCTAACTGGAAAAGTATAAAATAAAAACTAATAAAATAGTAGCAGTCAAGATAGAGGGTGAAGCCCTGGCTGGTGTGGCTCAGTGGATTGAGCGTGGGCTGTGAACCAGGCATCACTGGTTCGGTTCCCAGTCAGGGCATATGCCTGGGTTGCAGGCCATGACTTCCAGCAACCGCACATTGATGTTTCTCTCTCTCTCTCTCTCTTCCTCTCTCTCTCTCTCTCTCTCTTTCTCTCTTTCTCTCTCTCCCCCTTCCCTCTCTAAAAATAAATAAATAAAATCTTTTAAAAAAAGATAAAGGGTGAATACACAAAAGTTCACTGCTTTCAGTAGAACAATAATACCTACTTACAAAATGTAATGAAAAAACCTATTCATGATAAAAGCAAAACTATAAAATGCTTAGAAAAATGTTAAGCCTATATGAAGAAAATCATAAAGCTTCACTGCAGCACATTAAAGAACATCTTTAAAAATGGAAAATGCACCCTGGCTGCTATGGCTCAGTGGATTGAGCACCAACCTGTGAACCAAAGGGTCACCAGCTTGATTCCCAGTCAGGGCACATGCCTGGGTTGCAGGCCAGGTCTCCGGTAGGGGGAGTGCGAGAGGCAACCACACATTGATGTTTCTCACCCTCTCTTCCTTCCTCCCTTTCTCTGAAGATGGATAAATAAAATCTTTTAAAAAATGGAAAATCCCACCAAGTGACTAGATGGGATGATGCAGTATCCTAAATAAAACAATTCTTCCTAAATTAATGTATAAATCTAAAGCAATTTTTAATCAAAAACCTAAAGAAAGTTTTGGAAATGTTAAAAGTTAATTCTAAAACTCAGCTGTAAGGGCATATTTCCTAGAAATATTTGAAAAATAAGAATGAGAATAAACTTTCTCTATGAGAAAGCAAAACTTACATAAAGCAATAATTAATGCAGTCTACAAAGATATCAATGCATTTCTGGGGATTTAGTATTCAATAATAGTGACATTTCAAATCAGAGGTGAAGAACATGATTACTCAATAAATGAGCTTAGTGCAGCTTCTTTTTTATTTTTTTAACATTATTTTATTTATTTACTGATTTTAGAGAGATCAAGGAAAGGGAAGAGAGAGACACTCAGACAGATACATCAATTTGTTGTTCCACTTATTTATGCATTCATTGGTAGATTCTTGCATGTGCCATGACTGGGGATCGAACCTACAACCTTGGTATATAGGGATGATGCTCTAACCAACTGAGCTACATGGCCAGGGCTGGATTCTTTGGAATGTCTACTTTTAACCATATACAAAATAAATTCCAGGTGGATTGAAGATCTAAACAAATTAAAAATATAGAAGAACAGAAAAAAATACAAAGGACTTACGTGACAATATTGACATAGGAAAAGATTTCTAAGCAACTCAAAACCCCAGACATAAAGTGCAAAAAAAAAAACACACACAATAGATCTGACTGCATACAAAGTTAAAATTGTATAACAAATGACAGCATAAACAAAAATCAAGAACTTTTATTTAATTTTATTTTTTATTTTGTTAAAGATTTTATTTATTTATTTTCGGTGAGAGGAGAAGGAAGAGAGGGAGAGAGACATCAATTTGTTGCCTCTTGCATGCCCCCTACTGGGGGCCTGGTTCACAACCCAGGCAAGTGCCCTGACAGGAAATCGAACTGGCAACACTTTGGTTCACAGGCCTGCGGTCAACCCACTGAGCCAAACCAGCCAGGGCTCAAGTATTTTTTTTACTGAGTAGATTCACTCTTTTCATTTCTTCTTTTTTTAAATTTTTTATTTACTTATTTTTAGAGAGGAGAAGGGAGGAAGGAAGAGAAACATCAATGTGTGGTTGCTTGTCATGCACCCTACACTGGGGACCTGGCCAGCAACTCAGGCATGTGCCCTAGACTGGTAATCAAACCAGCTACCCTTTGGTTCACAGGCCAGCACTCAATCCACTGAGCCACACCATCCAAGGCTCAAATACTTTTATTTTAAAACTAATAAATACAACTGGAATAAAATATATCAATAAGTTAAGGAGTTAATATACTTAAAGAATAAAGAGTTCCTTCAAATCAATAAGAAAAATAAATCCAAAGAGAAAGTAGGCAAACAGGCAATTCAAAAAAAGTACACATTTCAAATAAAACAGTTTTAAATGTTTGGCCTACTAATCATTAAAACACACAAGTAAAAACAATGAAAGCCTTTTACTACCAGGTTGATGAAAATGAAAACAATGATGCACTTGTTAATATCCAGTGCTACTGATGAAGACTTGGAAAAATGGCCTCTCTTTAAACCCTATTGGTGAGAGTGATTGTAAAATGCTTCAGAGTTTTGAGAAGGCAATTTATTGACTATAAAAGCTCTACAATAAATTTCATAAAATTATTAATTATATATTAACTATCAATTATAATTTTACATGTATATACCCACTCATCTAGCAATTGATTAGTGTGCCTTACATATCCTTCTGTCACACCAGTCATCCAAGCTTTTCATTTATCATAATTTATATCAATTCTCACACCACTCTCTTCCTCTTTTAAAATAACCAAATCTCTCACTCACCTTAGCCTCCCAAATTTTTCCACTATGTCCTCTGGAACACCATTTGTATCCACATTAAACTTTGTTATATCCTTAGCCTCTTCCCTAAATGTTCCTTTCATCTTCTTCTTTTTTTAATTTTTTAAAACATTTTATTTATTTATTTATTTATTTATTTTAAAGAGGGGAAGGGAAGGTGAAAGAGAGGTAGAGAAACATCAATGTGTGATTGCCTCTAGTGTGCCCCTTATGGGGGACCTGGATCGCAACCCAGGTGTGTGCCCTGACTGGGAATCGAAGCAG